CCTCCCCCTTCCTCTCTGCGTCTCTGTCTCTGTCGTCTGCGTCTCTCTGTCTCTCTTTCTGCCCACAGCATGGATGGGGCACTCAGTAACGAATAGCTTTTTGGGCACCAGACTCAGCAGCGATGGGGCACACGCCGCATGCCACAGACTCGAGGTCCTCCGACGCTCACGGTGCCTTCTGCGCGCCAGGCCAGCGCCTTCGCGTGTTCTCTTGCCAAGACCACAGGGCATGTGACCCCGCTGGACACGGTCGCCCCGTGCGGGCGGGCGCCATCCGCTGACGCCCGTCCAGCTTCTCGGGGGTGAGAGCTGAGAATTGCTCTGTCGCAGACGTCACGTGCACCGGTGGCAGGTCTGGAGGGTGCAGGTGAAGGCGGCTGGAGGGGAGACGCCGTCACCGCCCGCCACAGTGGCGAATCCTCGGACGGGCTGGGCACAGGCTCCACGCAGCCCCATCTGGCCAGGAGCACGGACGCCGGCGCGTCCAGTGTCCTCTGGCTTGGCATGGTGCACCGCTGACCTCACGGTGTCCTCCTCGCTCAGGGACCGGAAGCTGCCTGAGGCCGGCCACCGGAGTGATGCACCAGGCACCGCGTGGCTCACAGGCGCCTCACCCGATGAGCCCTGGGAGGGTGGAGAGGCCCTGTCGCGGGCCACGTCCCAGCCGCAGCACCAGTGTGTGTGTGACGGCCAGGGAGGAGGGGGCTTGTCCCCAGGGGCGCTGTCTGCAGGACCAGCGGAGGTCGCCTTCTTGGGGGTGGGCGTGTCCCACCGTGGCCGAGAGCCGCCCTCACGCTGGACCCGCCACCTGCCTCCCCCCCATGTCCGTCCCCAGCCCCCTCGCTGAGTCCGCCCCCCCCAAAGGCTGCCTTCAGTTCCCATCTGTCCCCAGCCTCGTCTGCCGGGGGCAGCCCGTTCGATCAAAAGAAAAGAAAGACAGATGCTGGAGGTGACATTTTCTTGGCAATCTCGCGAGAAAACAGGAATTTGGACTCGCAGGAAATGCTGTGCACAGGGACGAAACTGCCGCCCCTCGCCCGGGGTCAGAGAGGGGGGCTGGGGCTCCCCGCCGCGGCGTGGGGCCTGCGC